GGGTGCAGGAGTCGTGGATGCGCACTTCTGAGGAGTCCCGTACCAGGACTAAATGGCTGTCCAGTGCTTCCAGGTTTCTAATGGTGGTCTAACATTGATCGATTCATGGTTTCAAAATAATTTAACAATCTTCACAACCCCGTAGTGGAATCCATTAAAATCTGAAGTATTATAAAGATTTATTAAATTGAACACCATAGAGATTCTTCACTTTATTTTGACTTAGTTCAATGATATAAATAGCACACAACACTTTTTATTATTTATTATTGGAATACGTTACGATTAACTAGACAATTTCTCTATATTGGTTATTATCAACGTATTGCAATATGTTAGCAAATGTCATAAATCAATGGAAATGTCGATGGTTAAAAAACAGTTAAGCCTATTCAATGAGATCTTCAACGTTTGAATTTCTACTGATCAATATCATTCATTAGAACTGATTATATTTGTTCATTCTGTAGTTCATGTGTTTTATTGAAATGGAATATATTAAAGCAGAACTTCATAATTCTTATTCACTATAATATTTCCATTTAGTAATGGCAAGAGACAAATGTAGTAACTTGAGCAAACACTTGAAAATGTAAGAATGTTAACTATCTAGTAATAAGCTAACGAAATAGTTAATATATATGCTAAAGAAATGTTAAAAGTTTTCATTCAGAAGAAAAATGCTTTTGTTAAATCATCAAATGAGTTATTTACCACTGAAATTGTCAATGTTATTATGGAGGCTAAAATGTACACCAATGACCAAATAGTACTGAAATGAAATCCTACATGATAACTGTAACAAAAGTTCATGAATGATGACGTGCGTATTAGTTTCCACTTCATCATAACGAAAGCCTTCTTACATCTTTGTAGATTTAATAGTAATGCGATCGGAAAATTTCTGGATCAGATTGTGGAAAAACAAGCTAATAGCTATCTGGACTGATTAGCTCAGTGGATTACTCTGTAACATTTAAAGTAAACAGCGACGGACCCGAATCCGCCAGTGCAGGTGCAGGTACAAACAGCTAGAGGTCCCAGATAGGATGACAGCGCTTCTTAGATTCCACTGCTATTCGTTAGCGAAATTCGCTTGCGAATCCCAACATCTCGATGTCCATATCAAGGAAATCTTCATAGGATGACTGTATTCCAAAAAGGACTGATCAGCTGGAATCATTAATGCTAACGATGCTCAGATTCAAACACTTAGAAATAAAGGTATTTAACAAAAGTAAAGAAGAACTCAGAGTAAAATATTGCTTATCGAAAACTGTATTTAACGTCAGCACTCTCTGTACTAATATTCTATAAAATTACGAGCAAAATTGAGAGCTGCAAGATTTTGGAGAATTTCACCGAAATATCTTTCGTTTTCTTAGATAAACTATAAAATATTAGATTTTAATGAATAATGCTGAAACAGCAGTCACAGAATATTTGCAAATCATGAAAAGATTACAACTATGAAATCCATAATTACTAAGAAACGCATTGTCGTTATGGTATTCATCATTTGCATTAGTTTTTTTCAATAATGCACGCTAATAAATAAACCATTCTAGACAGTTATCATATAAATTTGTTTAAAATAGTAATACATGTTTTTTCATTTAGATAAAAAAGTTTTAATTGGATTTGTCTAGAAATGAGGAATGTCACTGTATATAATTTAAAACCATTTTTTTTAAAAAAGCCTCAACCTTTCAGTTTAATTACTGTCTGCTCTCATTGACAGAATAAAGTGTTCCATTTGATATGTCACTTTAATGTTATACTACTAGAGTAAAATTGAATGTGTACGTTCAGCTTAGAAGGGGCTGAATAAAATGACATGAATTGTGTTTCTTAATTCACCATTTAGTTTCACTTTATTAAGATAGAATTACCTTAACAATTAACCTGTATCGTCGTGAGTGACAGGCTTTGAAACAGGTTTCACAAATTCCTACCACTCAATAGGTATGGTAGTGACCGATGAAATCTATGTCACATCGTTCTTATGAATGATCTAGTTCTATCGATTAGTTTGCGATATGGTCAGTAGTCTAAATGACTTGATTTGATGTACAATTTAGTGAAATATAATGTGGTGTTTGGAGTTAGCCGAGAGGAATCCTTGGACTTGTGTTTTGTGTTATTTAGTATTTGTCAACCAGATCTGTCACTAACCTTGACAGAAGTGATGCTCCCTAGTAGAGTCACAAACATATCACTCTGCTTTTCCGTTGAAGATCTTACTATTGAGCTATTTGAGCCACAACAAATCTCCTGTAGAACTGTGATATATTGAAAACCAATAGATCAATGAATTATAACCAACCAAATGGTAAGCTGTCTGAACGTGACGCTAGGTAACATGGGATTGGACCCACTAGAAAGAATAAGTTCATTCAAATTTTAGGGTACATTTTAGGTACATCAGCTAGCACGAAAATCAGGTTTCAGGTTTCCTGTTGACTACCCTCAACTACTATCCAACAGAAATGAACCATCTATTAAATCAGCTTATGACTGAGCTTTATTGTGAGTTGACTAGACTCGAAAATGCACAGTACTGAACTTACACTCAGTATCTCAAAAGTACATCGTTCAGCAAGAAATTAAACAGGCTCTTAATTTGATCTTTTGTACAGACCTATTGACTGACACTATTCATGAAGTACATGATGTAACTAAATAGCTGTTTAGTCCTTTTTGATGATCATGATGATCACTAAGCTGATAAAATAAAAGTTGGGAAATAGTGTGTGTGAACATTAATGCCTTGAACTGTATTGCAATCTTAGTGTATTATTACATTTGTGTTTAATAGATATGGGGGATTTGAAAGTGATTAGTATTGTAAAAGTCGTGAATCCTCACTGTTAACTATTCCTAGACGAAAGAGCTGCATAGTACTGTTTGATCTCGAGTGGTCGCTAAGTTAATTTGAATCCGTGACAAATGTAATTTCACTATTTTTTATATCTCTCATCGAATATTTATACAACGTCACATTTGTATATTTTAAAAATATTAATGCTTGTGAAAGGCAATGAAATCACTTTCTAACTTTATGATTAAGTGGAATCTTGGTTAGTTTAGATTAATGCAGATTATTAACCATTCAATTTTTGTAAGCGATATCAAATTTGCTGGTACTTCTGATAGTGAAAATCTAATTTACACTCTTCGCTTAAAATGCCTAGAATTTTCCTAATAATCTCTTATTAAAAAAAATCATGTCAGGAAACCAACTGAATAAAACCAGTACTACTTGAAAAATTTTTCATGCCAGTATCTGACTTACAAGGAGGATCTGTGCAAAGACACTAGATTCTGCCATCAGAAAAATTATACTTAACATCCAATAATTGAAATTTTTTTTACCACTATGTAACCTGAAAGGGATCCCGTGAATTGTTGAATTTTTTTGAAATTATGATTTGTGACAGATGGTATTTGATTATATGGGTGTGGTCCAGTTACCCAATGATGCAATGGAATATGATCGCAGGATATCGTGGACTGGTTGATGTTGGGATTTTACAAAAGTGGATGTCAGCTCGAAGATCCAGAGATTAACCGTTCACGCTCGAAAGAGAAGGTCTTGGTTACAGATTTGTGGATATATGCCACATAGAAGTCCTGTACCGGAACTGATCGACCATTCGGTACTTTCAGTTGTTCGACGGTCGTCTTACTTAGATTAGTTCATGAATTTGATATGTTTTTAAATGTTTCAAAGCCATTTTAATATTGACCATCTTAAATTCCAATTTCTTTGAATTACAACCTTTGGTTTGAATATTTTTATTTAACATTTGACAACAATCAAAAACCTACTTTTTGGGATAATTTTCATTTTCTGTTGATCGATCATGCTATAAATAATGTACTGAAGAATTTGAAAGTTTGCTGTATTAGTTCAGTTGTCAATGGTAATTGTGTTATGAAAAAAAGCGCAATTACTATGATATAATTTATTTTCAATGTTTCCTACTCTTTAACAGCTTAACATTGTCATGATGAATGTTACTACACAGAAACAACGGAACACTCTATCTTATTGAAAAAAATAGACATGAAATACATAAAACAAGGAGACTGATTCTAGGGTTAACTTAATGTTCTTGCATAAATAGTGATTTGTCTAAATACAGTATTAGCAGTCAAATAAATGAATGTGTACTAATACAATCTGTATACACTTTTATAAGGAGCGACTGATTGCAATCGCCTATACATTTTGTGTCTGTCAGTCTTCAACCATGTGACATCATATGAACCCAAAAAGTGAGAGACAAATAGAAGTAGCATTGGAAGAAATCACTGAATACAGATAGGTATTTATGAGAAATAGATAAGTAAAAACCATAGGACTGAAGATAAACAGACTTAAATCTCTCTCATTCTCTCACTTTCTATATTCCTCTTATTTTTTCTCGTATTACAAAAATTTACCGGTCAGTAGAAGTAATAATGTGCAGTTAATTTATTGCTTTTTCTAAAAGTGTTTTCAAGTCTTTCGATATACACTGATTTTTACTTGGTAATAAGTTACAAATTGGTTTAACTGATTTTAGTTAATTGATTGGTTAGTCTAATAGTGGTGGCTGAATTACATCTTTTCACTGGTTTCTTTGATTCAGCCCACCTACCTCTGAATTTTTATGTTGTTTGTCTTTTCTCTCTAATTGTACTCCTTTCTTATTCTTCTTCATTTGGTTGTTACTGTTGACAATGTTGTCAAGATACATTACATTTCATTAGGAAAAATTTAGCACAGACAACAAAATGCGCAACCGCTCTAATTGGTACATTTGAAAAAAATCAACAATTTTAAACGTATACAAAATTATTTCTATTCTCTAATCAAAATCGAAAAAATTGCGTCCAATGTCGATTATGTGTGTGTATGTATATCATTCCAGTTAGTAATATTTCTTCTATAAAATCAACTATAAAAATAATTTCCTTTTCAATAAATGTTTGTCTCTAAATTTATCGACATTGATGATTATTTATGTGTAAATATATCTATTCATATGAAAGCAAAAATTCATACTCTGTAAAAACATCTAAACATCTTTTTAATCGGAATCAATTACTTGAATATAAAAATAAATTTGTTTATTTAATAAATTTTTGTTATGAGTTTACACAATGAAAATTTGCTCATTGAGTAATTTGAAACTGGACAACAATATACCCTAATTAATGCAACCTTGGAATTAAGTGAATGAATACTTATGCAACTACATATCCAACACATTCATTTTTATGCGTATATATCTTCAAAAAATTCATTTAAACGAATAAAAACTACAAATTGTTGAAAAGAAGGAATCATTTGGCTAAATGTAAAATAGCTTCATATTTTTACATTTAATCAAATAAATATTATTTTATTTTTCCAGTACATCAAAAAGATCACTTATTACTATTATTATTATCATCATTATTACTATTATGTACTATTATGTACACGTCAGTAGGTTGTTTTCCTTAGAATTGAAATGCTTCATCAATGTTCATTTACATACTTATTATCAACAGTCTATCTCTTCATATTTATACAATTCGAACAAAGGAAACAACAAAAACTTAGGAGTATAGAAATTATTGGACCACCTTTGTTGGATTATTATTATCATTATTATTATTACCACTAATATTCACAAAGTAACATTAAACAGGATTATTTGCAATTATTTATAATATCCAAACCCTAACTTTACTTCGTCTGTGCATAAACAGTTATTATTCGATAATTCTGTGTGAATAATTGCTTTCTCGACTACAATGTTAACCTTATCTTACCTTATCTTTTAATCTACACACCATATGAATCCAGATACTGTATTACGAATTGGTAAAGTATTTGAAACTCCATATGGAGGAGATGGAGTTGATTTTGTGGATCAATTAAATTATCAGTTTACTGGTGGATTGTTGATTATATTTATAGCTGTAATTGGAGTGAGACAATATGTTGGTAAGTTACTTATCTACAATATTATTTTAATTTATGTATTAATCAAGTTGCATAGCTAATAAATTTGCAATTAAAGTGATTTTGTAGACTGAATAGTTTAAAATTCATTCTTAAAACTTCATAATTACATATTGTGTTATTCTTAATACCACTAAAGTAAGGTTTTCTGGAAAAAATATAAATTTCTAGTTTCGTCTTATCAGTCATGACGTCAACATATTCAGTTGAATGTTATTGCACTTTATTATCTAATAAATTAAATTAATATTGAATAAATAAGTATGTTCTTTCGAAATTACTACATCCTTCAATTAAAATATATTACAAGCTCCATAGATCTACTAAAGAGCTAGTAAAATGGACTGGAATGCATTTTTATTTTATTTATGACAGCAGAAGTTGACGACACGTATCACTTGCTTAGCAGACAATCACTCAGTGATCAGTGCACAAGTTAACGATATTTTTGATAAGTATAGTATATATGCTTGTTTTTTAATCTATCCTAGCATCCTATATTATCTAGCGTAAAAGTCAGTTGGTTCAAGAATGTTACTGACAGGCCTCGGTTTTGGTCTCATTAGAATAGGTTTATTAAGCATTCACTGTTTTAATCATTGATAATAGTTTCTAGTTTATATTTCTTGACTTTTTCTCTTTTATTCATCTTTTCCAAGATTCTGTGTTTATGACTTATTCAAGTGACGTACCTTATGTAGTTAGTTAATTATACCGCTAATTTTTCATTACTACAAGTTTATTCAAAGCAACCACGTGTATTAAAAGACTTGAAATGTGGTTAGAATGGTAAAGTATTAGATTATCATCATTTTTATTTGAAATGCGTACTTTTAGTCTAACTAAGAACGCTGAACAGATTGTTCATTATTTCTGACAGTTTATAATCTTTTCACAGATTACAAATAAAACTAACTTGTCAATTTTAAAGTAAACTTAAGTAGTAAGTATAAACATATTTTGAATGATTCGATTATCCAAAATGATTAATAATCAAACAAACCAAAGAATTCGAATGTCAGAAGCAGAAATTTTCCAAAAAATATATAACACACACTTATCAATTTCAGCCTTATCTAATTATTACACACATTAGAATAATTTGACAGTTATATTATTAAATGCATTAATAACAAAAGATATATAATTAATATCTCTCTCAAATCTTATTACCAGTGTTTTTCAGTTTGCCTAATACTTATATACGTATAAATCCATTGACTGATTCATTTACGGACTATATAAACAAATGAAATGTATTATTTTAGAATACTTTATTAGGAAACTACAATCTATGGATTGGTTTTTATTTCATTTGTCAGTCCGTAGGGCACATCGTTTTGTTAGCTTTAACATTATTATCATTGTTTTTGCTGTTTATCCACACTGTAGTAATTGAGTTATTCAATGCACACAAGGAATATAAAATTCAGCAAATAGATTAAAGTAAACTATCAGTTCTTACCTAATCACGTGCTGGTATTTTGAAAATTTTAGTGAATTTATTGATTGTATAGAAGTTACTTGTTTTTGATGATTGCTTTAAAACATAAAGAGTTAATATCAGCCTGATTAGTAAATGATTACGGAATATGTATAAAAAAAAAACTTGTATACAAGTTTTAAATGATATTCAAAGAAAGCTTAAGTTGATTATTCTTTGTCTATGCAGTTGGACAGGTAAAAAAGTACTTTCGATCCAAACAAATAAGAAACAACTGAAAATAGATTCATCAAAACAACGGGATATTGTTGTTTATCAATCCCAACAAAGCTGTCTTTTACTTATCATTTTATAAGAAAAACATTATGTTTTTAATAAACTTACAAATTCCATTTAAAATGTGTTTCTTTTTATTAAGAAATAAGAACTAGTACTGGAGTTTAAACGAAACGATAGTAAATTATTCAATAGCTGCTGTAAACCTTGAATAAAATTCATGACTTCAAAATAATACAGAAGAGTTTAAATGTAGACGTAAACTATTACTCAAAGGATTTTTGTCTCTAACAGTTCTAGCTGTTACAAATTCTTCTAAATGATGAATCTCGAACGTAATGAAACGCATATTTTACATTGTTCCGTTAGCCGTCATTCAAAAGCACAAAAACTTGTGCCTAAAGGGGATATTGAGGATAAATATATGCTAATAGAGACTGATCGATTACAGTCTTCAATAATAATAATCATAAAAAATTCATACACCCACATGTAAAATGAGTCATTCAAATGAAAATTTTGGTTACCATGATGAAAGCTAAGAACAGAAAAATATCAGATTACAATATTATTATGTCAGTATTTACAAAGAAGTATATATCAAATAAGTTTATATTGTTGTTATGGCATTTGTTTTCCAAAATTTAAAAGCCTCAAAGACAGACAGACCCATATTGTGTAAAATCTGTCAAAACAGGAGTTCACTAATCACTTAGCTGAGTTTCAGTTAATTGAGTGATGTGTCTGCTATCTCATCAGTTTAAATTAATGCAAGCTTATTCAACTCAGCTGGGGAATCAATGTAGATAATCAGATATGTACTTAGACAATCAGAGTGTACAGAAAGTAACCCGGATACAATTAGTCACAATGTAGCAGTTATACTGTATAATTGATTATTTCATCACGTTTAATAGCCTTTTTATTTAAAGACTAATTTAACTCATGAGATTTTTCAAAATTTTGATTGGAAAAATTCCACAGCACGTTTTTCAGAGCGCTTCGATTAACATGCAAATACTAAAAAAACGAATATTAGGTCACTTCTTAATACACGGTTGAGTAGTTGCATTAACCTACGGCGAATTTATTTCAGAAATCTACATTAGAAGGTAGACGATCGGATGTATACTACTGAATTGTTTCGTCCTTGTTTGTTACTATTCAGTAACAAGGATTTGCAATCATCGGTGAGATTAAATCCAACATCTCTTGGATTCCTAGCGAACATGAAATATTTCTATAAATTAATCTTAAATTTCTGGCTAATATTTCTAAACTTAATAAAGTTATAGCAGAGTGCAACTTTCTGAGTACTACTTTATAAAGTATGACTTGGTCAAACCCTAAAATTAAAGCTGTACATAAAAACTACGCATTTCAAATATGAAATAATTAGTTTTCTAAGGAACTTCTGTTGAATGACTTGATGTAATCGTGACGTAACTCTATGAAACCGTATGTTTCTAGCTTCAACTTCCTATCAAAATTCGAAAAAAAACTCTCCTAAACAATCGCAGACTAGGATCAAACACTTGTTTTATGCTCCGCGTGATGATATGCATTGTACATGAAAGTTGTGTCTATGAGTAGGCTTTAAGGTTGTTTACTATTTTTCTGCACATTCGTCCATTAAATACTACTGATATGCAACATAAGTTCTGCATTTTCATGAGAATAAGTACAAATAAAGCTTGAATAGATAATAACTGATGTTCTGAAAAGGGTGATAAATCAGCAAATGAAGTACCCTTTATTGCTGTTAATATAACAAAGATGAACAAATATAGGTTTTTGGAAGGTAATAAAATTGTATTACTCATACACCAGGTTTATTGTTTAATTTTATTTAAGTTTTTAAAATTCTAGACTATTTGAACCAGCGTTTGAATATTTAGTTTAAGTTATATGATGATTTTCTTCTTCGTCTGACTCTTTCATGCTTCGTCAGATGGATTCGTTATATATATAAAACAAGTTCATGAACAATGAAAAGGCTTTCCATAACAAATTAACACACCTCTGAGGTCTATTAATTGACTGGGAATTGTTCTCAGATATATTTTTAATGTGTTTTGGCATGTTATTTAGAGTACATTAAATAGACTTTCTTCTAACTCAGCATTAACAACGTGTGTTATAAAGTAATTAAAAATTACGATGGCAACGCAAGAAGAATGAAGACTTTTTAGAGAAGAAAATTTTTCTTCTGTAAGATATCATTTTGCTTATTTACATAAAATGGATATCACATAGCCTAACAAACTAAAAATTACGATGAGAAATCAAAATGTGTATTAGTTTTAAAAGTAGTGAGAAGTAATAATTCATATAATGATTGCAAAAGACAACTGTTCACTTTAAAAATTCTGCGAAGAATATGAAGGATCAAATCATAGTTGATATTCACTATTTGTGAAACTGAAACGAGCTAGGTTGCTAGAATCATAAAAGAATATGAAATTGAACATGAAGATTTTGTACATAAAAGTTGTGTTTGGAAAGATAAGTTGATACAGAATCAACTGAGCGCGCATTTCTCAGTCAAAAACCCTTCTAATCAATCCACATAACTTTGAAAACAATCTTGAACGGTTATCAAAATAGTTTAGAAAACCATAAACCTTCCTTTTCGGTTTGCTAAAAAGGTCTTCATTCTAAATTACATGATTTGTTGACCTAAGGATTTTTAGCATTATACCAAATCGCATTTTAGCCTGTTATCAGTGCATTTATCCTATGACCTTAAGTGAAATGTACAAATCATTCTTCTTCCTAGGAAATCACAGTGATTAAATATCATCGTGTTAGGAAAAATAAATTTGGTAGGAGTTAAATAAAACACCGAAATCTGTACAATAAATTGTTTCCAAAGTGACTGTGATGCATCAGAACGGCTCTTTGAGTCTGAGAACTACTGATACATGGGCTATCCGAAAATCCTAGATGATTCAACCAAAGTTTTGGTCGACTAGTTTATTGTAGGCTTGAATGAAGTCAAATTTACAATCATTTTTAAGCGGTTACTTCTTTCAGCTTGCGTACTCTGATTAAGTTCAATAAAAACTAGTTACTTGATCAAATGTATAATTTTTATGCCTTACTCAAATTTATAGTATATGCGCACCAATAAAATTTTAATATACTTAAACCTACCCAAGTTTATTTACCCGATGTTACTGATCCCAAGCCTCATATATATAAACATAACTACGATCTATTTAACAAGGTGATCTTGAGGTTTTCAACACATCACATGACG